CACTTTCATGGTAAATGGACTGATACAGTGATTATTCTGCTCTGCTTGAACACTGAAAGTGCTTTAAAGAAAGGTCAGTGAAACAATGTTAAACAATTTATCTTTAATGTGAGATATTCAGGTTGACACAATGAGAACGCGTGAAAAACATGTTGGAAATGTAGCTTTAAAAAACGAAACAAAAAAGACAACAGGTTGGATCGACGGGAAAAATACATTACAGGTAAATTTATGTGAAGAAGCCAGTGCTTTGAGCCCCATTCATCGGGAGACAACTTGAAGTCCGCCACCTTATAGACGGTCCTTGGGTGCTTAATGTAACAGTGTTGTTGGACTTGGATGAAAGTGGGAAAACGGCCACAGTAATTAGGCTCAGACGTTAGAATAGAAGTAGAATCACTGCTGAAGAAACCATCACAAGAACAAAAGAGGTTTTATCCATTTATAACGGATTTTTCTGTCTTTCGATCTTTATGCAGGAAGTCTGGGTCAGGTGGTTGGTTTTCTTGGTTTCATGAATCAGTGCTTAATTGTAAAACACATATTTGTCTGCACTGGGAAGATTTGATATTTTCAGGATAAAAAATAAACTGTTACTGTAACAAAGAAGGTTAGACTTCAGTTATTTCATCTACATATTTAACTTCGGCTTCAAATAGTGTGTGTGTGTGTGTGTGTGTGTGTGTGTGTGTGTGTGTGTGCGTGTGTGTCTTAGTAAGGATGCAGAGCGTCTGAGAGATGAGCTTTCTCTTCAGAGGATGAAGTCTTTGTCAGAGAGTCAGAGAGCTCTGGAGCTGGAGAGGAAACTCTTCACATCTGAGCGGCTGCTCAAACAGGTAACAGGCTGCTCTGACTGCAGCACTTCCCTGTGTTAGTATCTCTTACAAGTGCCGTTTAAAACTACAAAGCAGATGGAAGCACAAGAGGTAGTGTTTTACCTCTAGGTAGTGTTTTCTGTGGAAATCTTAAATAATTATAAAATGACATCTAAAAAAGTAACAATACTAAAATAACTTCATGGTTTTACAGTAATCGTGTAGCTCTAGTTGGTATATGTACTTGGTTTGTTTCCTCTACTGAGCTGTAAATTTGAGCCCCATGATGGGATTTTTGTAAGGAATGTGGACTATTGTATCTGCTGTGATCTTATATTTGCTATTTGATTGGATATTTCCATTTCCTGCTGCAGGCTCAGAGTGACAAGATCAAGTTACAGTTGCGAGTAGAGGAGCTCCAACACAAATATGAGCCAAAAGGTATGTAGCATAGCGCGCCCGCTCTGTACACATGTACACATGCGCCGGGGTTGTTGCAGCTCTGTAACTGTGCTGTCACCTGCAGAGGCAAAGAAGAATCTCATCCAGAAGAGAAAGAGAGAGAAACTTCCTGTTGACATCACACCCTCCGTGGAGGAGGCACCGCTGGACCGGACCAAGGAGGCCGTTGCTGTGGTGACAGATACAGCGGACCCCGAGGCTGACATGCGTCCTCCACTGAGCTCCTCAGCAGGTGTTTCAGAGGCTGAGCCACGGCCTGCAAAGTGTGTGAAGATCAGTGAAAACGAAGCTAGTGTAATTCCCAACCCCAGGTATGTACTAACAGCAGGGATGTGTACGACCAACTAAGTTCTTGGGAGTTTAGCGTTGGCTTTAACCCCGACCTTGCAGAGACGCCAAGGTAGTTTACATGACTGTACATAAATTTCTGTCCACAAGTTGCAGCTAAGGCATAAATACAGGTGGTTTTTCTGTTTAGGGGATTATTAGTAACATTTTGTCTGTATTTGTTAAACTGGAAGGATTTCATGAGTTTTAATCTTTGGTTTTGAAAAGTTGAGGCATTGTTCTCTGTAATATCTATGCTCCTCGTGATGAAGATGATGGGGGTGATTGTGATTGGCAGTTTGATTCTAGTCCACAGTAGGGCTGCCACAAATGATTATTTTGATAGTCGACTAGTCACCGATTATTTTTGCGATTAGTCGACTAATCAGATCATCATCCATTAGACGTAAAACTACAGCTTATTGCACCAGCAGCATCTGCTCTTATATAACTATCATTAGCTTACAGCTTGAAGTGTTTCAGGTCTGTGCTAACTAAAAATAAAGACAAGATGATAGTTTGTTAAATTTTAATGAAATTTGCAGATTGTTTCAGTGAAGTTTAATAAACTCCTTGCTATCTAAAATATAACAGGACACCGGAGTATATTCTCCAGCATCTCACACTTCTGATAATCAGCTGTCTGCTTGACGTTTATTCAGCTGTGTAAAAACTAGAACTTTAATCTCAGCCAAACCGATTTACTCAGGAACAAATAAAATACAAAAAAAAAAAAGCCAAACAACAACATTTTAAGTTATCTAAGTGACTCATATATATTTAACCTGAGGAGTGAAAGACAGCGGTGGGTTTGAAAACGATTTGCGGGGAGTCCGGTGTTCTCACGGCGCTAGTGAGCCTAGCCCCCGGCTCGCTAACGAGCTAGTGGGTAACAGATGTCTCCGAAAACGTCGGAGCGCTTTTGAAAATATGTGGTGTCCTGATAAACTGAGCCGATATTTGAGGTTTACACAGCTACATTCTCGCCTGAAAATATGTTAAACGTTTATTTTGTGACCCAGAAAGAATAATAAGAGTAACATTAAAACTAACTAGCTGTTGTTGGAAACTGCGCTGGGCCGCGCTATGAATTCTGGGACACAGCTGCTTCTTCTTCTTCGGGGTTTAACGGTAGCTGACATCCTTGTACATGCAATGCTGCCATCTTCTGTTTCAGTCCGTTATTACACTCTTAAATCCTGCTATTATTCCTGCGTCTTTTGTGATCTTACAAAGTTTCAAACGACGCGTCGACTATTAAATCAGTCGTCGACGATTTTGATAGTCGACGTAATCGTGACTAGTCGACAAATCGTGGCAGCCCTAGTCCACAGTGTGATCTTTGAGTGGAAAATTTAATGTTTCTTGGTTGTGTTTTGTTTTTCCAGTAGATTTTGTAGTCTGTGTTATTGGAAACACTGATAGTTGGTATAGGAGAGAATGTTTGTCTCCACTGTTGCAATTTGGCCAATAAAAAAAAGGCCTTTGATAGCAGAGCATGACTTTTGTCTTCCACCCCTCACCCCCGACCGCTCATGGCACATGGCCCCACCCCCCCGGTTCTGATGGAGGTTTCTTCCTGTTAAAAGGGAGTTTTTCCTTTCCACTGTCCCAAAGTGCTGCTCATAAGGGGTCATATGATTGTTGGGGTTCCTCTGTTTTCTCTGTTGTCTTTACCTTACAATCTAAAGCACTGTGAGGCAACTTGTGATTTGGTGCTATATAAATAAATGTTTCATATTGGGAGGGAAGAATTGTGAGCTGTAGAAGCTCGGGCATCCTTAAAGAGTTACTGCGAGGTTGGTTTATTCTAATTTCTGACATAGTGGGTCTAGTAACTAATAATAAAGCATCAGGCCTTTTTTCCCCTGTGAATTGTTATGTTCCTTTAATTTTATGGTTTTGTCATATTGCTCAAAGAAAATTGCAAATATTTTAAAGTGTTTAGTGTTCTTCTGAATCAGTGACTTGCCAAATCCATATTTGAAGCTGAGTGCTGAAGAGAAAGGTCCTGTTTACTTTGTCAAATGCTTTTTCTTCTAATGACACTAATAAGCTTGTTTAAAAATAAATAGTCTCAGCGCAACTTTAGTCCTGTTTTGGCACATCGTGTTGTTGACTAAGTACAGATGAAAACTGTAAGATCAGGAGCCGAATGAGCAGTAACTGAATTGTTTTTGGTTGTTCTCAGCTCTCCTTCAGCTGACTGTAAGGAGAAAGTGATGGAGGAGAACCAGCAGCAGAATAAGCGAGAGGAGAGGAGAAAGAAACAGAAAGCAGTGGAGATGATCCATGTCAGTTCTAACAGCAGCATGGAGAACCAGTGCGCTCAGCAGTAGGACTCATCAGGCCTGGACTACACACCGTCACATGTGGACATGTATATGATGCTGCTGTCATTTCTAATAGTCTTTAAAATAAAACAACTTCTGTTCTTATAAATATTATAATTATTAATTTGTTCTACAATTGTACCCACACATTTAAATCTATTAAAATGTTTCCAACATGCTGTATATTCATTTTTTCAATTCTTTCTTGTTACATTCTGTGATATGCAACATATCTTTAAAATACATCAAGTGCAGTAAGTATACATACGTTTCATATAAATATACTCTATAACTTTCTTATTTTCTCTAGCCCACATAATTAAACATTTCAGTTACATAAAACATGTGAATTTTGATTTTATGTACTGTATAACCTGTATAATAAATATGTGTAAAATATGCCACCTCCTACACCAGCTGCTGTATCCCATTTATTTGAATATATAACACGCTACACCAGCAGGGGGCAGCAGCGGGAGGTTTGTGTACTGTATCGCAGCTGAAAGAAGAGAAGCTGTACGTGGACCAATGAGAATCGACGGAAAAGTAGAAGCTTTCGGATGTCTGCGGGAACTGTCAGAACAGGTGAAGGCATCGCTTCAGCTTCACTGCTGCTCGGACTGGTGAGTGTTTGCTAGCCTGAACGCTGTCGCCGTCACGGAGCGGTTCTTGGTCGCAGCTTTCTGGTTCCTCGGGATTTGGGAACTCTTAGCTGTCAGCTGTTACGGCGTTACTTACGTGCTCATTGTGTCGCCTAGATATGCAAACATGTGTAGAGCTGTCATTGTGTCACTTTTTTGGTAGCCAATCTGTAAAGACGCTCACAGCCCGGTGAGTCACGCCAGACTCTATTCAACATCTTGACTTTTTAAATCGACATATTTCTCAAAGCAGATTATCACCAGAGACGGAACAAAAAGTAGTTTAGTCCCATTTTTTGGTTAAAACACGAGATTAGAGAGTGGAGTTTTGCCCCGGGCTGGAGAACAGTAATAAGGACCAGTGGTGTAGTGGTTAACCCCCCTCGTAAAGCTCATGCAGCACCTGAAGGTAGCTATGATTCTGACATGCCGTGCTGTGTATTCCAGTCACCATGAAGCTGATACCTTTTCATGTCGGGGGAACCTCCTTCATCCTGGCCGTCCTCTTGGTGCTGCATTACTGTCACATAGCCAGCATTCTTGGCCACAAGGTAGGTTAAACCTTTTGCTCTGATAAAGTGTTTAAAGCTCTCAGATGTTCTCGAGCATGTCATTTAGTTTCGCTGCACCTGTGATAAGATGGATTTGGCAGCAGTGATGGGTGGAAAGAGCTGCTGATCAAAGCCTGGCTGTGGGCAAACTGAAGACTCGTGAGAACATCCACGTGTGTTTCAGCTGCAGCTGGGACTTGGCTGGAATTAGCGGTGTGATAAAAGATGTTACCTTTTAACCCAGGTAACTCTCACTGGTAACCAGTGTTGGTCAAGTTACTTGGGAAAAAAGTAATCAGTAACTAATTACTGATTACTTCCCCCCAAAATAATCCGTTGCTTTACTGATTACTTATTTTCAAAAGTAATTAATTACTTAGTTACTTTTTAAAACACTATTTACAACCTGAGTAGGTGATAAAGTGAGATCTTTCAGCCCAATTCTACTTTTTCTACATAATCCATCATACAAAATGTAATCAAATGGAAAAGTCTCTTTTTAAAACTTGTTTTATCAGTTTTAATCTTTTAACTTTATGCATCAAGCAAAAAATTTAATTATATGCAACATTCTCTGACTGGAAGAAATTAGTTTAACATTTAAACCTATTTTCTGCACATTCCAGCTCATAAAATAAAATATTTTGTGTGTTTACACTCAGTCTTTCAAATAGATGCAAGTAAAACAACAGAAAATAAAGTCAAAGACTCAGCGGTCCTGTTGCTCTATTTTCACCTGTAAAGCAGGAGTGGGGTAGGCGGAGGTTTACCCTGGTGCAGGTGTGCCGCGGTCAGTGGAAGGATACGGCAGTTTCTCTGTGAACGTCACATTCCCGTCGTAGCTACTCAGTGCTTCCTTGGAAGTTTAGGGGTTTTTTTTGCTGTAAAAAGAAGTTTTCTTCCCACGCACAGCGGACACTAATGTTTTTGTCACTTTTTATGGAATCAAACTCAAAGTAAGGTCAGTACTTCCACGCTTTAAACGCTGCACGCTCATACTCTCTCCCACAATCGATATGTGATCCACTGTTTCACTAACGTTGCACTGGCTTACGTCACTGTCATGAGACATTCTCGCAAAAAATCACGGTTTTAGTAACGCAGCGTTCCTATGGGAAAGTAATCTAATTACCGTTTTTGCAATAGTAATCCCTTACTTTTACTCCTTACTTTAAAAAAGTAATCGGATTACAGTAACGCTACTGCCCATCTCTGCTGGTAACAAATGAAGACATCAGTGTTTTTATGGCAGTACACCATCAATGACAGTATCTTGTAACGGGACTCATGCAAAGAATAAAAATGAAGGGCTGCAAATCAGCAGAACTGGTCTCCTTGTTTTACATGCTAAAAGTGATGATGCCTTTGTTCTGTGCACTGTCGCTTCTCAGGAGGAATGTGACTCATAGTCTAAAGGGGCTGTGCATGCTTAGTAACACTAAAGAAAAGAAAGGCGCTGTATAAATGCTGGTATATTTCCATGAAGTTAATTAGCCTCTTTAGAGAGAACTTGGAGTGTTAGAGCTGGAGTGCTCGTATGCTGATGTAAGAGCTATGAAGTAAAAATAAAAAACAGCAAGCACCATCAAAAATGGCATCTGAGTTTGAATGAAAGGTGTTTGTCATTAAACCAGGGAGGTGTCTAAATTTCTTCCCATGTTTCTCTTTGTGCAGTCTGGAGGCGATTTAATCGTGGTGGAAAACCCAGAACATGAGGCTGTAAACGGTGAAGAGGAAGACGTGGCAGTAGATGATGTGGAAGATGATGAAGGAGATTTAGACGTTGTCCAGCCCAGTGAGCAGTGGCAGACACTTAAACCAGGTCATGCCCTCAGTGTTTTCCTTCACAGGGCTTTTTCTCTGGTTCTGAATAATGACAATCAGTCCTAAGATAAACACAACTTTGTGTATGATCTAATGCTTCAGATGAGGATAGACCTTATATAGATGAAGCCTCCATATGGGATTTATTTGATCCTCCTTTCATGTAACCTCACAAAGGTTGTTACATTTTCTCTATGCAAAATCATCATTTTAGTATCTGTGAAGTTTAATCGTGCCAACACAGTTATTGTGATAGCCAATATTTGTTAAATAACCATTATTGACGCAACAATCAACACTTACCCATGTTGCATTTCCTTTGGTGGCTCCAGAAGGGAGTGAGTCCCAGTAGCTGTAGCAATCTCCATGGATGTCCTGTTAATAAGGCCAACGAAACGATGTTTAGTCTCTTACAAGCTGGTAACAAAGTGTTGTCTGGTTCACCCTTAAACCTAGCTGGTGTTTTTTCTGCTTGAATGATTCGGTGTTAAGTGGCTTAACAAACCAAAAGGTACAAAGTCTAGAGTGGAAAGAAGTGAAAAGCAGCCAGTGCACAAAGAGGCTCTGAAAGACTTTCAGAAAGCAGAAAATCTAAATGTAGCAACAGGAAGGGTGGTTCAAAACATTTTCAGAGTACTTCATTACAAAAATTCACATTAGAGTGTGGCAGCGTGTAATTGTTGTTATTGACAGACATGATTTGCTGCACATACTAAAGGCCTTTATGCGGGACCTTATATCACATATACACAGCCATTAGCTGACTCGAACATCGGTTTGTATTTGCATCCATCCATTTTCTGCTGCTTCTGGGTCGCATCAATCTGCGAGCTCACGAGTTTCATAATATTCAGCAGTCGTATAATTATTTTGAGCAACTCTGTCTGTGCACACACAGGTCAGGCAGTGCCACAAGGTTCTCACGTGAGGCTGAATCTGCAGACAGGTGAGAGGGAGGTCAGACTGGGAGAAGAGCAGCTGAAATACTGGACAGAGGAGCACAGGTGGGGGTCCAGGCTAAAACTTCAGTCTGCAGACAGTAGTTTATTTCGCTCCCTTTAATACTTCTTCCAGCAAAGTGCACCCAGTAGGGGGCAGTAGTAGGAAAAGATAAAATGGCTTTGCAGTAAAAGTGTACATTTGCAGGGAGGAAGAAGCGCTCCGGTCTTCCTTTAATCCCGATGAGCTGAAACGAGCCATGAAGAAGATAAAAGAGGACTGGAAGCTTGGAAGCAAGGACACAGAGCAGAAGGTAGCAGCTCAAATGCCACTGTTGAACTTCTGATTACATGCTGGCAGCAGAAGCTTTAAGTGTGCCCACATATGAGCCTTTACTGTGTGTCTCCACTGCTCGCTGGGCGCTTCTAGGACTCTGTGGCTTCTAAGTTTCGCACAATGGAGGAGTTGAAGAAAGACATGGCTCAGCTGGACCTGCTGCTGGAGACGGATGTTCAGGTACATCAGTGTTCCTGGATCTCACGTATGATTGTGACGTGAGCTGTTACTGTGAAACGTTTTGAGCTTCAGTCAAATGAAGTTTCTTGCATGTGTAGATAATGAGGCGTCTGCTGGAGCAGTTCAACAGCAGCAACTCAACTAGCGAACAAAGACTGAGCATCCTGACGGAGCTCGAATATCTGGTGCATCAGGTAACCCACACACAGGATGATGTTTCACACTGTGGTGAATTGTCCCGTCTCTAACCCTGCATGCTTGCTTGTATGTGTGCTAGGTGGATAATGCTCAGACTCTGTGCTCCATGGGGGGCCTCCAGTTCCTTTTAGAAGGTCTGAACAGCTCTGACTTCAGATTACAGGAAAGCTCTGCTTTCGTCCTGGGCTCTGCATTAGCCAGGTATGATATTTAGACTTGATTAAGCTTGATTAGTCTGATGTTCCAGATGTTCCAGATATGCAGATATGTCACTTCTTGCTGTACAGTGGTGTCTGTGATCACATCGAGCTTCTGTAGCTGTTTAAAATCAAAACAGGTGGTTTTTAAATACATTTTTGACTTTTCTCTGCAAATTGTGCACAACATTATGTTTTGTTCTTGTTTACTATGTGACTGAGTTGTAATGCAATAACCCTGATTGCGATGGCACTCCAACAGTGCTGCAGCTTATCAGATGAGATCGTATAATGTCACAGAACACTGGCTGCACAACATGTGGTACATCATGGTTTTGGGTTCTTTTTGGAAAAAAACCAAATTTGAATTTTGAAAGCCAAGCAGCAACTTCCAGGCGTCAAAGTTCCAAATAATAGTCAAATAAATAGTTGAATATGAGTCTTGAAAGTCTCAAATCTCTTCTGAGCAAAACACTTGAGTTGAAAGCAAACACGACTGTCAGCGTTGTCACACTTTGTGTGTCCTGCAGTAATCCAGCAGTTCAAGTTGAAGCCGTGGAGAATGGCGCTCTCCAGACACTGTTAACCACGCTGGCCACTGCTCAGCAACTCAGAGTCCAAAAAAAGGTAAGCACACCCACACAGCTTTCAGTTTATGTTCAGAAAGTTGGAGACAACACGTTGCACAGAGAGCTTGACAAAAGAAGGCAACTCGACTTGTTTAGGTTTGTGAAGATGCTTCACCTCTCATCCAGGAAACTCTCAAGACTACCATGACTTGTAAGAATGAGAACCGCCACAGACACACACACACACACAGACACACACACACACACACACACACACACACACATATATACACACACACACACTCTTCAGGTGTGTGTGTGTGTGTGTGTGTGTGTGTGTATATGTGTGTGTGTTCGTTCTGTCTAGGTTCTGTTTGCAGTGGCTTCCCTCTTGCGTCACTTCCCCTATGCACAGCATCACTTCCTGACACGTGGGGGTCTGCAGGTCCTGTCAGAGCTGTTCAGGACTGACAGCAGTGGAATTCTGCGTACACGCATCGTCACCATGTTATACGATATGATTACTGAGAAGGTACAGTAGACGCATGCTCCTGCTCCTCGATTCCAAGCCCAGTGCAGTGCTCCTCTTCAAATACAAGGTCTAAATGATCTGAATGATTAAAGTTGGTATCAGTAGGTTGGGACTTTCCAGTGCCCAGCTCGTGGGATCGTTCTCATGATCTCTTCTCTCCTCTTCCAGGAGCTGATCTTCCAGGGAGGTCTGGACCCAGTACTGGACGCGTCTCATGATGAGCGGCGGCGTCAGTACTCTAAGGTGTCTTTGCAGGAGGAGCTGTTGGAGAAGGGCTGGTGCATTCTGGTCCCACAGCTCCTGGAGTCTTCAGAGAATGACTACAGAGAGAAGGTGGGTGGTTTCATATATTTTGCATTAATAGTATAACAACTGTTAAAAATAACTTTCCCTGAGAGTCGGTGCTGTTTTTTGCAGGCTCTCCGGGCTTTGTTGGCAATGGCTCCAGTGTGTTTGGATCAGTACCGCTCAGACGGCTCTCTGCAGGCTTCTCTTCACTCTCTGAAGCAAGAGTACCAGGACATGATCCAGTCAGAAATAATTCTAGCAGAAGAGAACACCTACTTTGAGGAGATTGTAGAACTCATCGATGCACTGCAAGTGAAAATGAAATGATCAGAGGACAGCACTTTGACGTTTCATATGAACATGGCGTACATCGAGGAGCTGGCACTTTTACTCTGTTGGGGTCAGTCGATCGCAGAGCAGTGGACAAGGAACACAATTTTGAGGACATAACGAGTGAGCTGGAAGACAGATCTGCGATTAGTCAGCATGAACACAACCAACAAATACTTCACGTGTTGCCTAAAAATGTTCTCCACACTTCTGAAGCTGTTCGTATGGCCTCTCTGAGAGGTCACATCGAGGGTGATTTTACCATCAATAACGTTGCTTTTCTTCCAATCACTGTGGTGTGTGGGTAGGGTGGTGTAGTCCAGGTATGTGCTCCAGATGCTATAGAGGATGTGCACATACTGACTGCGCACACACCGCTAATCCCAAAGAGCAGTGATCCCTGTTGCTGTATGGAGTCTCTTCTGGTTGCCGTCACAAGTGAATGTGTCACAGAAGGAATTGGTTCACAGTGACGGTGGCATGGTGATGGCCATGTAGTCCCGCTGCACGTTTGATAGGAAGCAAGAGCTGGGTCATGTGCTTTGCAGCAACGTCACTTTGCCAGGATGTAACTGGCTTCACTTCCTCTAACATTAGACATCAGGTTGGGTAAGTGCGCGTGTTATGGGTGTTAAGTCAGTTTCATGCAGAAGGCAGCGTCGGCAACGTCTGACTGATCACAAACGTGGATGTTTACTGGCAGCAGAGCGACGGATTTTATGAAGACCGTCAAGCAACGCAGCAACCATGGCTGAAGTATCTGAATGTGGAATAGAGTGCTGTACATACAGTATTAAACAACACTGTATGATTGCATGTTCAAGGTTAACCCTTAAGTTGCTGTGCTTATCCCCAGATCCCCCTCTGTATGCCTCATGAAAACCAGACTTTGTGACCACATGGGGATGTAAAAACTGTTTGACACTTAATTTTAAAGTCATGCCGCTCTGTGTGGTGGACAGTGTGAATGATACTGTAACATGAACGAGTGTTGTTGGTGGCATACAGACAGAAGGACATCGTCTGCTGTGCCAGGTGTAGCAGTCCACTTCCAGCTCCTCTAGGTCCCGACCTGAACCCACTGCACCACCCCTTCCCTGCAGCAGAGCCACAGACCACACCCCCACCACAATTACTGTTTATGTAACTTAGGCAACCTGACTTCACACCCAATGGAAACACGTTTTTCATCTGTTTTAAAATAAGAAAACAGGATTGTATTTGAAATGTTATTTTCTAAGACTAATATGTTCTACTCTATAGGTTACAGGAAATTTAAGCGTCTGGTAATACAAGTTATTGCAACTAACAAGAATGTGCTGCAAGTTGCAGTAGAATTTGGATAGATTTAGCTCTTTTGGAGTGTGGTGGGTTTTGTAGTAATATTTTCACTCTGGACTGATAACTTCAACATATTCATGTGCTTATTTATTTGAAAAAGATGGTGTTCTGTTGATGTATGTTCGAGAAAATAACTTATAGCTCCACAATAAAAAATGAGTGTTTCCAGAAAAATGTTCACTAAACTTTCTTTTAGATTATTCTCTCTGCTGTATTTCAGTAAGTGTGCAGACACTGTAGATGTATTTGCAACAGTGCATGGGTACAAGATAGATTTTCAAGATTAATCTGGGAAAGAATGCAAATAGATCTCTTCCCTGTGTAATTCTGTGAATGGCACTTTGATCACTGTGTTGTCGCATAGATCAGATTGTGCTGCCACCATGAGGTGGAAAGAGAAATGACATTTTAGTAATTCTGTTTGTGGTCGCTGACCGTAAATAATACATCTTAATGTAGAAGCGGAGGCCCATGTAAAATCTGACTTAGGTCCATGATTTGGACACGCCCCCATACATACTACATATGTGTATGAAAAGGAAAACATTTATTTTGAAGGGGTCACTTTTAAAAAGTTTTTTTTTAACACTGGAAATCCTCGCCTCTCTCAAACCCAGACTGCAGCCGATGTTTAAGAACTGTGTCTAGGAAAAGCAGCTGTTTGTTGTTGCCCACTCACCCCTGAGCGACAGCCATGAGCTACAGTCAGTAAAATGATAAAGCACAATCGACAGGCACAGTTTGAAGCTCTTATTCTGAAAAGTCAAACCGGTAGTACGTTCGCTTTCAGGAAGTGCATGACATAACTAAACGCTGCCGTATGTAAACAGAAATACAGCCGCGTTTCAGTTGTTGATCTTTGTCATGAATGAAGCGGCTCACCGAGGGGACTCGTTAACCGGCAGAAGCCTCCCTGAGGTTCAGTGTGTTTGAACAAGCTGGTAAGAAGCTAACCGGCAGATGCTGTTGTGTTCGTGTTTTGTTAGGATTGTGCCAGCTAGGTGGATGCTAGCCTTAAATGACTCCACCTGAAATCTGGAGACTTCTTTGTTTCTTTGATTTGAATTGTGTATATTTTTCTGTATCTGGTTAAATTCTATAAAATAAAAAACGCTGCACAAATATCTGATTAACACTGACTGCCAGTAGCAAACAGCTTGTGTCAGCGACTGTTATAAAGGTCACAGTTACTAACGTGGGTCATACTGGGCTGTGAAAAATAACAGATGATTTGCTTAAAAATGGCAGTGGTGTACCTAAAATGCTAATAACAAGTTTTTCAACTTCAGCATTGCCAGCTGTCCAGTTTTAATATGAAAGATTTTAATTCAGAGTAAAGGTTTACCTTTGTGTAACTCGAGTCACTCTGTATAGTTAAAGGTCTGTTTTTGTGTGCAGATGAACAGTGATGGAGCTGTCTCAGAGGGAGCGTCTATCGGTGTTGGTGGAGGAACTGACCACATCAGGACAGCCACAGCTCAACCAAGACAAAATGAAGGAGGTCAAAAAGCTCTGCAAGTATGGCATCAGCATTTCCACAGGGATTATTTAGTTGCAGGTGTAAAGTGGAATTATGAAACAAATGAAAGACTCCAAAATGTGCAATCCTTTGGAAAGGGGTCAGGATTGCAAGTATCTGACATCACAGTAAGGAAACCCTGAATCTATCAAGATCTGTTATCAAGCGCGCAGATTGTCTAGAGAATGTCAAAAGGGGCACATAGAATAACAACAACCCACATTCATCAGCAAGCTAATTTAATATCACTTCATACTATATCACTGTCATCAAGTGGGGACAATGCAATGCAAACATAGCCCATGTGTTACCTGATGGGTGCAGCGTTGATGTTGAGGGGTTACTGTTGCTGCTGATAGTGCTGGAGAGCAGGGCTGTGATGATCTGAGACGTGAGAGATTAAAAAGTCCACAGGAGATGGTAGCTGATAGAACAAGTCTAATGAGATTACAATAAAATAAGAATTCAGCCAAAAAATCTATACACATAAAATACACACACACATGCACATACAGTGACATTTTACACTGTACATACTATGGCCACTTTCCAGAATCCTTCTCTTATTAATTATTCCAGGTGCTATAATAATAAAGTAATAAATATTAAATAATGTATTTATGATGATTCAATTTGCTTGACTATCCGCTCTGTGCAGAAAGCTTTTAAATGTTTAAACTGTAGAGATAAAATCATTTTGCTGCTGTAAATTCAGCATTTTGTCTTATTTTCAATGTAAATCTAATATAATCTGTTTCTTAATGTATTTTCTTAGAAAGACAGTGTGTTTTAATCCATAATTATGTGGATATGCATATCAGTTTTTAGTGAAATATAAACCCCCAAGAAAGGCAGGGAACTTGCTTTAAAACTAAATATGTTCCCTAAAGCGTGGACAGACCTACAGACCCATGACACTCTTACTCAGTTAGCTAGCAGCTAATGACCAGCGCAGTTGTGCAGTTAATAAAAGGACAGGTAATATTTGTCGTGCTGTTGCACACACAGCACGCTCATTTGTCTCATCAGTTACCACAAGACAATTTACCAACGTGTAATAATAACTTAATACTCCTGTGTGTTATAATTCAATAGAAGGACTAGATGTTACAGTGCCTGATAACCCACTGCTTCAAATGGAGAAAGTCTTGGTGGCTGTTATGAGGACAGCGGAACGCATCGTTGTGTGCCTCAACTTCACGGCGTGTTTCGTCTTTTATCACAAGTTAATCTGCCATTTTTTACCTTCCTTGGTTTGGTTTAGGAATTGGAGATCTGATCTAGACTATAATATTTAAATCTTGGGACACATCGTCAGTAGTGGACCTTGGATTCATCGGGTTTTTCGGCCATTATCACCAGACACCCTCATCCAAGGAGGCTCTGCTAGGGTTGAACTAGTGTGTCACTAGTTTATGTTAACATTGTTATTTCTCTTCTACTTTCTTCTGTTTAGTTTTCTACCATTTATCCACCGCAGCACGGTGGCACAGCGGTTAGCACTGTTGCCTCAGGTCCCGAGTTCAGTGCCGCCATCAGGCTGGGGTCTGATGTTTGCATGTTCGTGTGGGTTCTCCCCGGGTGCTCCGGCTTCCTCCCACAGTTATGCAGTTAATGGGGATAGGTTAATTGGAAACACTAACTTGCCCATAGTGTGAATGCACGAGTGAGTTGAAAGCGAATGGTTGTCTTTGTGTGTGCGTTAGCCCGGCTGCGACAGACCGGTGACCTGTGCACCCCGCCTCTTGCCCTAAGACAGCTGGGATAGGCTCCCACGACCCTGAAAAGGATAAGCGGAAGCGAATGGATGGATGGATGGATGGACGGACATCAATTCACTGTAACTGAGAAGTAAAATTTTAAAAATTTTAAAGCTTTAAAATTTTGGAGCCTCACTTTTTCAAAGGTTGATAGAGACAAGTAAGACAAAAGAGACGAGAGGAGAGCCAGGAGGGGGGGCACCTGATCTGGCTTCCCACACCTCCCTGCCGGATCGGGCTGTACGCTCTACCTACAGTGTATGCTGTACACCCTGCTTACTGGTTTCTGTTGCATCAGTCTTCGTCTCGCAACCAGCGCGCTCTGCCATCAAGGGCGAGCATTGGTCAATGGTAGTCACGTGACCGATGCAAGCCAGATCATTTTATTTAGCGAAATTGTGATTAATAATTAAATGTTATTGTTGAGAGGCACAGGGAACGCCACATGCGCACACACCGTTAAAAAAAATGTCTAAAGAAAAGGCCACCTGGGGCACCATCAGGAAAGGGGGAGGAGCTCAAGCCCCAACCCCTGCACGTGCCTGCCACAGAGGATCAGGATGAGAATCACAGTTTCCCACAAACAGATAAAAAGTTACTGGACAGTCAAATAAAGGTTACACAAAGAACGAAAGAAAACAGCTGATCATTCAATACAATAAGACCTTATCATCCAAAGCAATTTATGTAAGTGTGTATGAACTTGTATTTGTCTATACAAGAAAGGTTTTATGAAAACTGACAGTATTTATGGTAAATTATGGTTACGTGTTAAATACAGTCGTGTAATTCTTTGTCAGCATTATGAGTACAACAAATGTCAAGTTCTTTCGTGATTCATAACATAAAATTTAGTTACTCTCCACCTGTTCTCCACTCCTCACAGAGTGTCTAATGACTGCATAGACCATGTGTACCACTCAGTGATGTCCCAGCTCAACCAAGAACATGCTGAGATCCGGCTGTCTGCCTTCCAGATCGCCGGTGAGCTCTTCTCCAGGTCACACCACTTCAGGATGCTGCTAGTGGACAACTTCCAGGTAAATCAGCTGCTAGTAACTAGTAATCATCTGAGATCATCCAGTGCACACCAAACATTACAGGACCTGCTTTCTACTGGCAGAATAAGGCCAATGATGGCTTTTTATAGCAGTCACCACACTGCTACAAAAGCCATCATATCAGTTTTGACAATATCCTCAACTCTACTCGCAGAAATGCTACCCTGTGACAGAGCCTCCAGGATATTTTTTGTGTTTAAACATCCTGGTTGTCTAGCGCCATTAGCATGCTAGCACTGCTAACTGTTGAGTCGAATGTTTGTTGTGAGCGGGTCCCAGTCTTACAGTTATTTAACACTAAAAACAAAATAAAAAAGTAACGGCGCGAAGGCAAACTGAAAGTCTTTTTAGCTTTTCGGCTGATATCGGTTCACGTTTGCGCACTAAGTGATCTGTGTAGGATAAATCCACGTACAGTGAATCCCATTCAAAGAGGAACGATACAAACACTCAGCTTTAATATTAGGATGTCTTTCTTTCTGTGTCCCCCTCATCTATTCCTCCGCCTCTCTTCTTCCCACAGGAGTTCTTGGAGCTGACGGTAGAGACTGATTCAGAGCAGCCCCTCCCTCCTCCTAAAGAAGTAGCCAGGAAGCTGAGAGCTCTGGCAGTCCAGACTGTGCAGTCATGGCAAACGTCTTATGGCTCTGCTTATAAGAAGCTGGCACTGGGCTACAACTTCCTCAAACAAGTTAAAAAGGTGAGCGATGCAGAGATACAGAGTGACTTTTATTAACTGGAAACAACCCATGTGGTATGAGGCTAATGCAGAGGCCTCGGTTTGAATCCGCCGCAAGACCCTGTACATGAGGAAAACACACTCATGAAACACAC